AAATTCGATTTGTTTTTAATAGAATTTACTTATTTCCAGAGAGATTTACTGTACATAATCCTACCGAAACAATCGAAGAATTTCTTGTATATAAAAAAAAAAGATAAAAAAAGAAATCGTTTCATCTTAACAATCGGATCGGATGACCAATTTATGAAAGAATTCACTTATAATCTTTATCTTGTATTGATGTTAGGAAAAAAACATATTTAAATTCCAGATTTATATTTAAAAATGTAGAAAAATAAAAATAAAAAAGAGAGAAAGACGACAAAGTTTCAGAGAAGGAAAGAGAGAGAGAGATGAGAAAAGATGCAGAAGGATGAGGAGGGATGCGGAGAGAAAAGTAAAAGTTAATGATGATAAATGTTGAAAAATTGATATTTTTTTCCATGCAAATTGTTAAGATAAATATGATATTCGAGAGTTATTTCATATAATTAAGTTAATATTTTATTTAAAATGCATTTAATAGCTTTTATCGTTAGTTATTTTTATATTTTTCTCAACTTAAATAACGATTATAATTTATTTACTTTCACATTTTTTTTTAATGAATAAACAAGTTCGTTAGTCGTTGATATTTCATTTTATCATCAATTATTTTGCCTCATTTCTCATTTTATTTACTTTATTATGAAGATAATAAGTAGTGTTATCCAATACGGTAATTTAAAAGAAAAGGAGGAGGAAGAAAATAATAATAATAATAATAATAAATTAATGCAACATCTGGATATAAGAATAAAAAAAATCGATAAGTATAAAGTATATTTTTATAATAATTATTTATATTTATTTTAAAATTTTAATACTTTAACGCTTTATCCCAAAGGATGAATGAATGTCATCTTGGCATTCACTCTTCCTAAGAGACGAGTATAACTAAATTTATAGAATATTTAATACAGTAAACTAAACAAAGTTTTAATTACACTTTATAAATATAATCTAAGAGCTAATATATATATAGAAACATTAGAAATTTCTTTATTTTTTAACTGAATAAAGGGTCAGATGGTCTAGGATCACCGGGGGCTAAAATGTGAGATGGATCAATCGATACATGGCAAAGGCTCCATCAAGAGAGTCTGGAGTCAAACACAGAACTGTAAATACAGTTCTCATTTAGTCTGGAGAAAACGTGTATGATTAAACTACCCCCTTCCTTCTTTTTTTTCCTTACTGCAATTATCTTTCTACACATAAACTGGCGAAATTTTTGTTGAAACAATACTTGAAAGACTTAACGAATGTGATCAGTTGAACTAACGAGTTTAATAACTTCAGAAAGGAAGGAGGAAATAGTAAGGAAAAAAAACTGTTTCCATATATTTTTTTTCTAAATTCGAGTAAAATAATTAAAAATTTGTATAAAAATTTAAACTCTTCAAGACGGAAATTCCTCCTCCTCCTCCTCCTCCTTCATCTCTTCCTCTTCCTCTTCTCGATCTTGGAGAAAACCGTTTATGACTTAATGTCGTGATTTAAATTAACATATTATAAAGAAAATTCAACAAAATTATTCTATTTATTTTACATTTTTATAATATAATCGTTTAATTCAGATGGGACATCGTTGTAATTTCCGTTGACAGATTTGCTGAGGAGGAGTTTTTCGTAAGTGTTGCTGATGCGGTGAATAATTTCACTGGAGGGCAATTCAAGTTTCCTTCTCCTTCCCCCTTCTTTCTCCCATTCATTCATCTATTTAAAACGTTGATAAATTCATTTTCTTGTAATTTCTCTTATAATTTTTCAATTTTTTGAAATTTTATTCTTAAATAAGAAGGGGAAAAATCGAAAAAACTCGAGCATTGGTGGACACAACTTGCTTATATTCATTCTGTAAGGATCGATGGTCTAATGATCCGTAAAGGCCCTATGCTGGCAACCCCTGTACCACTCACTACCTGAAGCACGCGGGAGAAAGTGAAGAAGTTCTTTTTTTTTTTCTTTTTCTTCTTCTTCTTCCTCTTCATCTTTCAGCCTCTCAATTGCGGATCGTGGTCATTCCAGCGTAGTTTCCTACTTCCACTCTGTCGTTTTTCTGTCATGCAATGCATGTCAGCTAGTCTGTGGAGCGAGAAATACTGTATTTCGTCAGTGAGAAGTCGAATAGCATTGTTAACTGCGTATCATCTCTGCAACTTTATATCATATCGACTCACGCTATCTTAGCTTCTCGCATCATCCTCTTCCTCACCTCTAACATAAGGACACTAATTCTTAAGATAAAGAACCTCTTTATGCTCCAGAAAATGGATCCTTAAGCTTAGAAGGAAGCAGAAAAACTAACCATTTTAACAACTGTTAAGATTACGTGAGGGACGAGTTGGAACAGGAAGTGGTACACCAACGGGTTACTAATGCATTCTCTTCACACCGATAGTCAATAATGGTCCAGTATGTGAACTTAGGAAGCCTTTCAATTTGTTCTACTAAAAGAACATCGCAGTGTAGAGGTATTTCTGCGGATTATACACAAAATAAGGAAAGTATCTTTCCACCACGCTGTAAAGAAGGAATTAAAACGACCACAAAAAAAAAAATTAATACTAGCAGAACGAGTAGAGAATTTTAAATTAGGAAGTGGGACCATTTATTTTTATTCTAATTATTATATTTAATCTGTACTTAGTAGGTATAGGCATCCATTATTGTCGAGTATCCATTATCCGGCGGATAAATACGCTACATTAACTTTAAGAGGGCATTTAATCATTGACTATTTATCAAGAAAAGGTACGTTAAGTCATCAATAATTCGATACCTTGATGGAAATTGCAGCATTTGACAGTTGAACGGGAAAGACGGGGGGGAGGGGGAGGGAGAAAGAGATGATTTGTTGCATTGTGACGTTTCTCACACGCATCCCAAACGGGTTACGTGCCCATAACGATCTTAGACGGTTCACTAATCGTCATTACAATTATAAAAGAATAGGAATGATTTATTAGAACCACCGCCTATTTCAAGGTTGTCATTAAATTTAGCAGGAAATAGAACAAAATGGCGATTTTATTCGTTCCACACACGAAATTCGACAACTAAACAGGAATGAAGATTTCAACATTTGTTTTAATGATTAGTTTCCGCTTTATTTACTTTACTCCAGACTAAAATTACATTTCTGTCAATGTCGTTAAAGTATTATTGATTTAAATCATAAATTTAATTCTACAACTTCTCATTAATTTTTCCTAGATTTATTCTAATAGCCCACCTCTAACCATAACAAATCTCTTCGTCTTTCAATTTCCTATACCCCTCCATAGTAATAATAATAATAATCACATTTAATATGTACCAATCTATATGGTATTAATTAGTGTGAGTTTTTATGGCCCCTATCCTTCGTATAAAAAGATAATAACCACTCCTTATGACCTGCTATCATTATCATTAGTCTCCAATACGTTCGATAACTGTAATTATTCGTTTTATTGCTCCATTCTGAGTAATATGAGGCCTTAAATTTTTACATGAGGAATCTTATTAACGTCATAATTACAATAGGGGGTTGGTGGATAGCTGTCAAAAGTAACTTTTCACGCGTTAACCCCTGGTTGTTTCCTTCTATAAATTTGAAAAACACGTCCTCAAAGGGGAGAGGAACATTTGATAGAAAAATACGAGTCTACTGCAAATACATAAACTTATCCTTTGGAGAGGGATATTTTTAGAGAAGTGGCACATATTTTTGGCCTATCGCATCGAACCACTGACAGCAATTGAACCAATGTACAGGATGATAAGTGGACTAGAACATAGTTTCTTTTGAGGTTATAATAAAGTTCGGTTGGTCTAATCAAATAGGAGTCAACGTGCTCCTAGATTACTCCTTTAAGATCAGAATAATTTATCTTTAAATTATTATTATGGAAGTATTAAATTGTCATTAACTACGGACGTTTGGCTTTAGTATTTTCCACGTTTTTCTCCCTCCTCCTCGCTGTTTTTTTTTGCACAAATAATATTAAAATTATACAAAGAAATAGTTGCAGCAGCATTAAAATAATGAAAGCTTATAAAAATTATAGATTATTTTTTCTTCCTCCAGTTTTCTCGTTTATGTGACGATTTTTCTTGTAATAATTATGATATAATAAAGTACGCCCTCGTTAGAAAAATCCTTAATCCAATTAAGTAGAAGGCAATTAGGCAATTCTCTCCCCCCTCCTCTAAAAATTCGTTAAAGATCTGGGGGGAGGGAAAAACGGGAAATACATTACGTTTTTTCCCTATCATTTCAACAAAATAACTTTTTTTTTTTTTAATCTTTAAAAAAAAATCCCTAAAATCCTGGTGAAGTTGTACTCGATGCTAGTGGCAATTTTCATCCTTCTATTCTCTCGACGTAGGAAAAAAAAATAGCGGCTACAAAATGTCAATATGATACGAGAAACAGAAGTTATATATATATATATTTTTTTCTTTTTCCTTTGTTTCGTCATAAAGTGCAGTTCAAACTCCTAACAATAAAGACACCTTTCACGTGAACCACACCTAACAATACCACGCGGTTTATACTTTCAAATACAGTAAGAAAATATACATACTCTCATTATAATTGCAAATATTTCTTACGAAGTAAAACCTCAGATGTGTGAGGTGCCATTTTTATTACCATTCTACAAATTTCCTTTCTTAAAAAGCTGGAATAAATTTGCAAAATTTTTATACGATTTTGTCGTTTTTCCTTTTTTTTTTCTTTAATGTACAGGTGTATCTTGTTGTTAATGTTTTTTTTTTTATATATTTAAACGTTGAAAGGAATTTTTATTGACATTAACAAATCTCTGTAGGAAAGACAAGCGAGAATTTTTTCGTCATTTTTAATTCGCATTTCAATTAAATTCTTTGATTTTTATAACCTCTGTTAAATCTAAATTATATATTATTTATCTTCTACGGATGCTGTTCTTAACCGGTGGTAAGCGTATTTCGAGTGTGTTATACACAAATGGCGAGTGAAAAAGGTTGAGAAGATAACCTAAATGATAATAGAAGATGGAAAGAAAAAAGAAGATAAGGAAGATGGAAAAGAGGAAGAAATAAAGGAGGAAGTAATGGAGGAAAAAGAAGAGGAAGATGAAAAAGAGGAAGATGTAGAGGAAGATAGAAAAGTAAAAGAAGTAGAGGAAGATGAGAAGGAGGAAGATGTAGAGGAAGATAGAAAAGTAAAAGAAGTAGAGGAAGATGGGAAGGAGGAAGATGTAGAGGAAGATGGAAAAGTAAAAGAAGTAGAGGAAGATGGGAAGGAGGAAGATGTAGAGGAAGATGGAAAAGTAAAAGAAGTAGAGGAAGATGGAAAGGAGGAAGATGTAGAGGAAGATGGAAAAGTAAAAGAAGTAGAGGAAGATGGAAAGGAGGAAGATGTAGAGGAAGATGGAAAAGTAAAAGAAGTAGAGGAAGATGGAAAGGAGGAAGATGTAGAGGAAGATGGAAAAGTAAAAGAAGTAGAGGAAGATGGAAAGGAGGAAGATGTAGAGGAAGATGGAAAAGTAAAAGAAGTAGAGGAAGATGGAAGGAGGAAGATGTAGAGGAAGATGGAAAAGTAAAAGAAGTAGAGGAAGATGAGAAGGAGGAAGATGTAGAGGAAGATGGAAAAGTAAAAGAAGTAGAGGAAGATGGGAAGGAGGAAGATGTAGAGGAAGATGGAAAAGTAAAAGAAGTAGAGGAAGATGGAAAGGAGGAAGATGTAGAGGAAGATGGAAAAGTAAAAGAAGTAGAGGAAGATGGAAGGAGGAAGATGTAGAGGAAGATGGAAAAGTAAAAGAAGTAGAGGAAGATGAGAAGGAGGAAGATGTAGAGGAAGATGGAAAAGTAAAAGAAGTAGAGGAAGATGGGAAGGAGGAAGATGTAGAGGAAGATGGAAAAGTAAAAGAAGTAGAGGAAGATGGAAGGAGGAAGATGTAGAGGAAGATGGAAGGAGGAAGATGTAGAGGAAGATGGAAGGAGGAAGATGTAGAGGAAGATGGAAAAGTAAAAGAAGTAGCGGAAGATTTTTTGGAAAAGGGGTAAGAGAAGAGGAAGATGTGAAAGGGGAAGAAGTAAAGGAGGAAGAAGTACAGGAAAAAGATGGAAAGGAGGAAAAGAAGAGAAGGAAGATAGAAAAGAGGAAGAAATGGAGGAGGAAGTAGAAAGGAAGACCAGGATCAAACGACATAATTTTAAGCATCTTCAGCATCATTTTTTAATCATTTTATCTTAGAATTTTTTATATTTTTAGCTGTTTATCATTATAATATTTGTGTGTGTGTGTCTCTCTCTCTCTCTCTACAGGATTATCTAACGAATCGTGGTTCAAATTTCCAAAAATTGTTAGCATAGACTTGAAAAATCAGTTTTAATTTTATTTCTAAACATTTCTCGAGTATACTCCAGTCTAAAGCTAATATTTGAGATGTAAACTAATAGAAAATTTGTTGAGAATTACTTAATAACTTCTCAACTTAATTTAGTATAATTAAAGCTTTTATCTACTCTCATAGGCTAATTAAACGAATTTTAATCATATTTACTCACCTTGTATACTTTTAAACTTTCTAATGAATACAATTAACGCCGCTAATTTCGTTTTAGTGAGGAAACCGTCACTATATCGAATGTCTGTTATCGAAAAAGTTATATTTATCATGGCAGAAACGTTATGGTTCAGCTATTCGACTACTAAAATGGGATTTTTATATAGTATATGAGCATGGTTTGCATGCTACAGCATCAACCATGCGAAAAAATTTATGACCTTTCGCCTGGTTTATAGAAAGACGTCGATAACCCCTCCACAAATAAGCATTTTACTCCAATAGAATTAACTTAGTCTCGCCCAATTACATTCTTTAAAGGATTATTTTTAATGTCCCATAATTTCTAAACCGATTAAGAAGATAAAATTCATTTTCTTTAGCGTTTAGCTGTCGAAAATCTGTTACCATTAAAGCTGTACTGACGAGCATAATTTTTTTTTTAAATGTTACCATTTACAGCTGTATTAAGCAACATATTTAAAACATGTTATCATTAGAACTGTACTGACCAGCATAATTCAAAATCCCTAGCAAAACCGATCGTAAAATACAGATAACGTTATCATACATTAATATCAGTTGAGATAGCGAACAGTAAAAATGATGGATGATACTGATAACAGTAAAAGTTATCATCATTAACTATAATCATTTACCTGAAGCAAATATTTACAAGATTAGAAAGAATAAAGTCGAACAGTTACTGAATAAATCATCACTCCATTAAATCTATACCAGATGTATACAAAGTTTAACGTAGTAAAATAATTAAATGCTTGATTAAACATGAAATAGATTCAGCAAGTACTTTATGGATATAATTACATGCTCAACCAAGCCATTATTGACAGAGAAGCAACATCGAACATCAGTTTAGCTAATGTTCGTTGTTGCTTTCTCTTCCTGGCTATTATCATATACTTCGACGACATAAAACTGTATGAAGATTGTTATAAAAGTGAAAAATAAAACTTTGTTTTAGTAGATAAATGATGCGTAACTCTGCGTAACCATAGAAAAAAGGAGATGAAAGAGGAAGATGTAGAGGAGGAAGATGGAAAAGAGGAAAGAGAAGAGAAGGAAGATAAAAAGAAGAAAGAAGAGGAGGAAGAAAGAAGGGGAGGAAGATGGAAAAGAGGAAAGAGAAGGAAGATAAAAGGAAGAAAGAAGAGGCGGAAGATGTAAAAGAAAAAGAAAGAGAGGAGGAAGATGAATAGGAGGAAGATGGAAAAGAAGAAAGAAAAGAGAAAGAAGATAAAAAGAAGAAAGAAGAGGAGGAAGATGAATAGGAGGAAGATGGAAAAGAGGAAAGAGAAGAGAAGGAAGATAAAAAGGAGAAAGAAGATGAGGAAGATGAAAAGGAGGAAGAAAGAGAGGAAGAAGATGGAAAGGAGGAAGAAAGAGAGAAGGAGGTAGAAATGAAGACCAGGATCAAACGGCATAAAACTAAATTTTAATTTAGTCCCAACGACACAAACAACGTTAAGTTTTATTGCCAAATTCTAAATTGACATTGTTATAAAGTAGATAAATTGTATATAAACCCGTATACGAGGTAGACGGGCCTTTTATGCAGTAGAAATTTAACCTTTACACGGAGCTTGGGTCGTATGAATAGACTTAAGTTATAAAAAAGGAAGGTCTACAAGGCTATAGAAATGGGAACAGAACTGTTTTCTACTATACTACAAAATGGATACAGCATACATAAAAGAAAATAGTCTGCAGGAAAGCGTATAAATATTCAGTAAGTTGGAAATCGGCTCTGAAAAACGGAAATTTAACAGTTAATCTGAATTTCTTTTTTGTCATTACAGGACGTTAAAGATATAAATTTCGTTTTGTTTACGTGTACGGTATTTATTAACGGGAGTTTCTGTATTAAAAAAAAATATATCCCCCTTCTCTCACCATTGGCTATATTAAAATTACAGATGATTAGAAAGAGTAAGGAGGAAGAAAGAGAGAGGGATGAAGCAATAAAAGTTTCATAAAAAGAGATAAAAACTTGCGGTTATAGTAAAGAAAAATGGAAAAGTAAGAAGAGTGATGCTGTAGGTAGGTTGCTAAGGTGGATGTTTATAGTAGCAAGAGCAACTGCGGCAGTCGAGGATGAGTAATAGCCTCTGGTGAAGAAAATATGTGAAAACATGAAAAGTATTTCGGATATATAAAGAAGAAAGAATGTAAATTTTTTCCATCCACTAAAGTATGATAATATAATATTTAATTTGATTCATCTTTCCATGGAATAATTTAATGTCGTAGATGCGTTTTTGCTGTTCTTTATCAAAAGCAATATTTTTTCTATTAAAAAAAAATCCCTCGTCTTTTCATAAAAGTATGCAAATTCCTGATAAGTTCCTTCAATTTTCTATATACAAAACAATAGAAAATATACAAAATTATTCTTCTTCATACAAAAAATAAAAAAAAATCCCTTATCTTCTGATAAAAGTATGAATATTCCCTATACTTTCCCTATACAAAACAATGGAAAATATATAAAATTACTCAACAAAATCTAAACAATTCGATGTATGTAAGCTTAGATTATTTCGTGTTTATTGCTAGTTAAACATTTAATAATAATAATATTATTATTTTAATGTTTAAATAAACGATAATAAAATTTTTTCTTTGAATTTTAAACGTTTACGTTAAAACGAGACTTTTCATCCCCCTAAAAAACGTTTTTTTTTTATCACTTTTTAAAATAAATTTCATTAAATTAAAGTTATTTTTGGAAAATAATAATCAAATTATGCAATTATATAGCTTTATATAGGGATGTTTTCTTTAAAAAAGACAGTCAGAATGCATATTAAACAGCATAAAAAATTATTATTTTAGAGGAAGATCACGTTATTGATGCTGCACACGAGTGAGAATAATTAGGAATTGTGAGATAAACAAGTAATTCAAGTGAAGAATTTATTTATAAGACGATGAAGGAGAAAGTGATGTTTACTAGAAGTATATAAAAAGTATAATTTTTTAAGGTAGGGACTGTAAAAAAAACTCAGCACGTCACGCATCACCTGTACAGCACAATTGCCTATGGGAGTAGTTAACAATTGTTACATTTATATGCAGCTCGGAGCCCGTTTGGCATTTACGACGATGTTACAATGTCGGCCGCCATTTTGACTATAAATTGGAGTAGCGATATCATAGAGTTTAAATAAAATTGTCAATTTATGTAAGTTTTTATGATGAAGACGGTGGCATTTTAAAGCTCTTCTACGTCCTCGGGACACCAGGAGAGAGAGAGAGAGAGAGAGAGAGAACGGGCGTGTGTGTGTGTGTGGGGGGGGAGGAAGGGAAGATCTATCTCGTTGTGTGTCGTACATATTCGTGGACCCTGGCGACATCGCTAACCCAATCGATTGGTTGCAGTAGAATAATAGCGTTGGTAAAATTGATGACTCGAAAGTTACTAAAGAAAAGAAATCGAGTCGAACAGGAAGGAATGGAAAGTAAAACTAGCAAAAAGATCGATGTAGCATCTCCCATAGTTGGCATTACACATGAGAACCATTAAGGAACCCACTGTCATTTGGTGAGATCATGAACGAGGGTCAAAGGTGGTAAAGTGGAGACGGAGACAAGGTGGTCAAGAAAGAAAAAAAAAAAAAAAGAAGAGCTGTCATCCCTAAGAGAACAAAACATCCTCTCCTCTTCTAAGTTAAACCAAAGGGAAAAAAAGGAAACAAAGATACATAGAAGGAGATGAAAGAAGAGAATTAAAACAAAGAAACTTCAGAACTGTAAAAGTAATATTAAGTTTAACGTTGTTTCTGCCATTTATCTTTCCAACCTTAATCTTGCCACAGTAAATCATCTTTGCTTGGAGTATGGAAGAGGAAAAAAAAAAGAAGAAGAAGAAGAAGGGGAAACAACTTTGTTAATTGACATTTTAAGCAAATGTCTTTGGCAAGTCGTTTTATCATCATATATCCAAAAAGTCTTTACGCTTCCTACTTATCTTTATAGCTAGTTCCCGACGAAGCTAACATCGTCCAGTGTACATCATGCAATATTCATAAAGGCGATGTCAGTGATTTACAAGGAAGGATCATAAATAAACACCTTGGCACGGTCGACTTGCTACACTCGTTGAAAGATCACTTTGCTTGATGATACGGAAACAAAAGTGCAGCAGGAAGAGACGGGCGCTCCTATTTTCCAAAAGATGTCGACCTTTGCATATTTACAACACAAAAAA